TTTTTTTTTATCCTTATAGAAATAAATTCAGGAATTCTTAAAAATTGATGCGCTTATAAGCCAGATTTATAAAAACATTTGAAAGTAAAAGTCTTTTCCTGTTTCATACAGAGGCTAGATTTTCTGTGGAGTTATTTATTGAGCTCAACTGTCTTTTGTTAGAAAAACGTTTTACTAAATAATGAAAATTTGTAAGATACTGCATACAAGTTAGACATCAGTAAATTGTAAATCACCATAAAAGTATGGTGTAATTTGTATATGAGATTGTGTCCTAAGAATATTTGTAGACCAAAACAGCTATCATGTCTGTTTTGTCAGTTTGGGAGATGTTAAAAGGAATAGGAGAAAAATGAAAATTTGTGTGGAGAACGAAGAGATGGCTACAGATAAATTCTAACCAGCATGGATAGGGCGTTTTTGACCACTGTGTAGAAGGATAACATACACATTGAGCTTGTTTTCTTAAATGTTCTTTTTGGTATACTAATTTTAATTTCCAAATATACTCCAAAAGATACTCTTTCTGGGAATGTCTGTTTTACTCATATTGGTATTTTAGATACTAATACTCATAGTTGTTTGTGTTTTTTAGTGTATATTCAGCACCAGTTTTACTTAATAATTTGTGTAAAATTACTGCATGTCTGTTTTTCTCAACTCATATGTCCTGTTCTCTGAGTTGCTCTAGCCATTTTAATGATGAGAGATAAGTTTTACTTATTTTGTTTATTGATTGATTGAAAGTTTATGCTTCATTTGAAAATTTTCATAAAAGGTCTGTCTTAATTATTCAAGCAAATGTGTTTGTTAATTTCTTTAAGTCCATGTGTGACTGTCCTAAGATTTATTGGTAACTGAAATGTCGATTAACCTACAAGTCTTATGGAAATCCTCAGTAATTATGTGCAAAAATTTGCAAATGGATAAGCTCCTTGATTAGGTTTTCTAAATCTGGCTTATTAATATGCAAATAGTTTTTTATATGTTGGATTTTTGCTGTATTTCTTTGAAAGAAAAATCCAGATGTTCTGATTAAGATGTTTAAATAAAAAGTTACTTTTATTTTTCTTTCTTTTACAGACTGACAGAAATGTGACTGTTATCTTTCTCAGTGAAATTATTTGGGAAAAGTTTCGTCCAAATACTGGATGCTTTGAGCCATTCGTTTTGTATTTCCCTGATTATAGCATAGGTAAATTTTAAAACATTGTTTTGGCAAGTGATATT